CCACCGCTTAGTGAGTGCAGAAGAGTTAAACTGGCATTTTTACAGTCTGAATATTTCTCTGCTTATTGTTTGTGTCCTGCTGTTGGAAAAACAGGTTAGTTGCGTAGTAAATCTCTAATCAACACAAGAGAAGAACAAAAAGAACAAGCACCCTCATTTGTTATAGCTACTTCAGAAGCGTGGTCATTTGAAGGATGTATTCTGGGAGATTTGTCCCTCTTCTTCAGAGAGGCTTTTTAATATGGGCATAACTAACCAGACATCTCAGGAGAGAACAAAGGCACACTCATTAAAATTAGCTGAAAAAGCAACCCACGTAGCAGAAATCTGTTGGAACGATACTTCTGTTTGCTCTCATTGTAACGTCTAAGCAATACGTTCCATAAAGCACATAAGGCCCAAAGTGTGTAGCTAACAGCAAGGGACTGATTTTGGAGTTCGGATGCTCATTCGGTGCCCGTTTGCGTTCAGGTCCAATGTATTCAGTTCCCTTTACATCCTTCCACTTCCCTCCCTCCAAATTACAGTTCGCCTCCGTTTGGAGCCGTCCCCAGTCAGACCTTTTCCTTGCTGTGAGTAACACAGATACGCATGCTGTAGTGGGTATACAGAAATACTGCTGGGTGACGAGCCATAAATAATGTGCGTACTGACTCCTGGTGAGATACTGCTCCGGTGTTTAATGCATTTATTAACCATGTAGTGCTGTGATTTGTAGAAGCTGGATGCATAATTGCAAGATAGCATTTCTGGGAATAAATCCAGGGCTATACTGTCTGCAAAAGATGGAGGGAGAGGGATCTGGGGGATGGGAAGCAGAGAGTTACTGGGTTTGGGAGCATCTTACGGTGGGTATTAGGTGCAAGACAAGAGGAGACTAGGTTAGGATGTGTCTGAGCAAGGACATATGATTGAACTCATCTAGGAGGAAACTTAGAGGTTGAGTCCTGCGTCTGGAGGAGAAATATCTCTACAAGCAGTATTCTTCTGTTTTTTCAGAAAACCACCGGCTCCCCTGGTCCTGATTGGCCTTTCTTTCTAGGAAAGAAATAAGTAAAATTTTGCTTCTAATCATGAGAGTTTTTCCTTTTGTGGGCATGCGGTTTGTTTCTCTACCAGCCCTGGATCAAATCCAACACTTTAGTTCTAATATTAAAAGCTAAAGGTTGCAAAGACCAAAGCAAGGCTTGTGTGACTAATGTACAGGATACTGAAGAGCTCATCAGGAGGTGCATGAATATGATTATCTCTAAATATCATCTGTTGCTTGTGCTACCACAGTGATAAGATTCTCTGGAAAAGCAGATGTTCATTTTTACAGAATATAAAAGCTTAAGTGAGTGCAAGGTTGTTGGCAGTACGGGGGCAGCTTTGTCAGAGTAGCCCACGTTGCTGAATTAAAGTTCCCTGCGAAGCCGGGGTGAGTGTCAACCCGTCTCACTCAACTTTGGTTTACAGTCAGAGACGTGTCACAGCTGAGTGTGTAAGTCATTAGCAAATGCTATTTTACCTCAGTAGAAAAGATCTCGTACCTCTTTCCATATGTTTAACCAGTTATTTTAAGTTGCTTTTCTTCTACTGTTTTTTTAATTATTATTTTTATCAGCCAAGCCCTGCTTGTGTTTTGGTTAATGAAAAAAATCCCATAGATCTTTTTGCCACTAGATAAGAGCTTTATATTAAAATTCAAAAAAACAGAAGTTTGAATACAGACTTATTAGCCGTTTGTGTGTGCTGTTTTCTTCTGTGGAATTAGGTACTTCTACCACCTTGAAGAAACCTTCTTGCCTTTATGTTAGGTGTGTAGGAGACCTGAGATGGGGGTTGGCAGTGAATCTTTGGCATCTTGCATAATGAACAACTCCTATTTCCCAAATTTGTTGATGGCATAGGTATTGCCCGTCAGAATTGTCTGCAGCTGTACGTGATGGGCACTCATTTCTTTAGTTTAATTTTTTAGGATAATGGAAGAAGTTGTAAGGTAAATATCTGATGACTGAGGAGATTGTTCATGATTCAAAGGCATGTCTCCCAGTCTGGTTGTATTTCCACCGAGGCTATCAGCATAACATCCAAGCCCTAATTTTTTACCTCTAATGAGGTGTTCACTCACTGTAGCACAAATACAGCAGTTCTGCTACGTGCAGAGTCCTTTCTGCCTAACAGTAGGGCAGGAAGAATTTTCGATTTAGATTTTAATTGCAGGACATACACTTTCCATAGCACTCTCTTCAACTCATAGGTGTTTTTTTTTCCTTTACTTGTGATTTAGTGATGCACTGTTGTATTATAGTGGTGCAGTCTATGCCAACATTTCCATTACAACCCGTTTTTACAGGTTTATAACTCAACAGTAAAAATGTACTCTTCCAATTTGAAATTTGGCATATAATGTCTCATCTCATCCTCAAAATGATAGTTTTTTGTTCCTCTCCACCTCTCCCCCCAGCAAAATGCGTCACACTTTTGCTGTATTTTAAATGGAAGATATTGTCCTTTTCTGTTTTGATAAGAGAAAAGCCTGCCTGATTATTAAAATTACTTTTCAGTTCTAAGAAAGGAGAACTTTATAATAGAGGATGCGTGTGGATAAGTGTTGTCGATGTTAGAATGACTACATTAAGTATATGAATACAGAGAAGTACTACCTTCCAAATGAAAGCTAGGGAATATTGATCAAAATGATTGAAAAGCTTTTTTTTAATGTTGATTTTGTTTCTAGCTGTTGATTTTACCCTTCAAATAGTGTTCTCAAAAATAAATACGTTTTAGCTGCTGTGCTCTATTGTTTATCAGGCTGAATGAAGTAGAAGACGACTCTACCGCATATAGACAAAATAATGATATTTTTTCTCATTTGAGAAACACAGTACAGAAGGAACATAAATTCCAACTTTGGTCTTGAGACCAACTACTAAGCGTAGACTTGTAGTTAGCACAGTGTTAGGCATCCGAAGCAGGCGTAAGCAGCAAAGCACAGTGTTTCCAAGAGAGAGATGGTTGTGTGGATTAGGAAGTCTAGCCCTGAATGACAAACTAAAACATGAGGCTCGTATGGTCTTTAGAGTTTATACTGTTAAGAGCTGAACATCTACTCACACCTTCTTTGAAGCCTCACATTCCAATGCAATGTAGTATGGGTGTTCAGGATATAAGAAAAACAGGATTGAATTCCAGTTTCTCGTTCTTTACTCGTCTCTGTGGAGCCAGCCATTTAGGAGTTGAAATCTACCCACTTGCCATTAAAAGAAGTTTCCTAACCTGTGTGAATACCACCACCGCTGCAAACATGGCGGGAAGGATTCACTGTGTTGCTTCTTCTTGTAGCAAATTTACTTCCAGGCATTTCTTTTTCCATTTAGATAGTTAAATTTATGCTTACCATAACCACTTTAATGGTACTAATTAGAAGGAAGGGTATGTAAAAGAGAGGGTGTTTATTAATGAATTGAGCTATTATTTTGTCATATATTTGAAACTATCAACTATCAACATATATGCAGTATACATTCTTACTATAGCTAAGCTGTCTTTCCTTTAAATCACAGCTGCTTTAGTTTTTCAGTTGTCTTTAATATATCTATTGATAAATAGACATGTTTAATGAAAAGCAAGGAATGTGCTTCCTAATGAGAAGTTCAGTTCCTTCATTTGGATTCTAAAAACAGTAATTAGGTCGAAGACTGTTTTGTATCCATAGGCAGCACCGATGGCTCTCAGATAGAAAATAAAATAGCCGTGTGTGAGTGTAAAATCAGAATGCTCAGCACTTCCTCAAATCAGGTTTAGTCCAGTCCATCTCTGCCAAAACTGGTGGAATTCTACAGTGTAAAATGAATTGAACACAGTAAGATTCAGATCCACATTTTTTGCAGGAAATAAATTTCAACTCCAACAAAACTTCCAGGAAGTATCAGATGTGCTCAGTGCAGTCAGTAGTTTTAGTGTGTAAACCCGAGTTTTCTGTTATAAGACTTGATTGTACGTTTAACACTGGTAGCTCCTATAAAAGGAGCTGTTTACATTTCTGGAATATACAAAGAAAGAGAGAATCACTGAAGTACTTAAATCAGCCACAACACCATTTATTGAAAGTATCTTCAGCACCGTGGGGATTGCTATTACTGTTATACAAAAGCAGAAAAATCCCAGCCCAGTCATGTTCACTTGAGCAATGGAAATATTAAAACCACTGTATGATGCAAGACAGAGCGCACACAGTTGCTTTCATTTTGTCTGATGCTGTCATCAGAAATGTTTCTTACTTGAGTCAGTGTGGAGAGCAGATAGTAATAGCAACAGGTGAATGCTTATCATAAGACGTGGCTGAAGATATATCCGATTCATTTTTTAGGCTTGGACCATCTAAAATATTCCTGCATTTAATAATATTCCATGTATAGTAATCAGTGAATGCAATGTAAACAAACAGCTCAGTTTTAATTACAGGTATATATTTTAAAAGACATTAAATGTTCTTTTTGAAACTTTCTAGAAGAGACACTGTGGCAGCCATGCAGTGTATTAAAATTACTGTTATATTTTAATAATAATATGTGGAGAAATTTCAAGAATCATTAAGGATGAAATACTCCTGTGTTATGTATAATTTCCTAGAACTGAGGCATATGATAGATTTTTTGTTAATATGCAGTGATGTTACGATAATTATTAACTATCGTATTTCATTTCTTCTCATGAACATCTAGCACCATTTTTAAGGGGCCACAGAACATAACATGTTCTCTGCAGCTGATGGCACTCATCATTGTAATTACTAAGTACCCGTAGCTGACTGTTTGAAGTTTTGCTGTAAATTCAAATCAGAATGTGAATGTTATTGGAAATCATGCAGTTCCATTTGGAGAGTTTATTTGGTAATCATGTGCAAATCACTGTCAAAATTATAGCAGTATGACAACCCACGCGAATTTATCTAATTGTTTTGTGCTGCTGTATGTATAAATTGTACAGGGAATAAATTTTGCATTTGTTCATAGGCACAGAAGAAGCGGAAATCCAATGAATCTGTAGACACAGAGCTCTGTCTTAATGAGGTAAGAGTGTGGATCCTGTATCTTTCACATCCCAGATGTCTCCCCATAATACCAAATGTTCAAACTCTGTCAAGATTACAATGGGTTTACCTCACCCTAAAGTCTTGTTAGTATCGTTACGTTTGGATACCATAATGTATTAAAGAATGATGTTATTCAGAAATCTGGAGCTGGGCTCAAAGTGGCCTCTGCTGACTCTGTATTTTAATAGCTCCATAGTACGTGTTTAGGCAGATCCCATGGTAATTACCATTGCACCTAGCAAGGATAATGAGTTAATAACCTGCAGGAACACAAGATGATATGGTCTTTAACAAATACACAGAAACATACTGGATATCATTCTGTGGCTGACAAAAATGACCAGTTTAGGGCGTGAAATGGTGTTCATATCAGGAGATGAGGTGCTCATACATCAGAAGACAGATTGACAGCCCCAAGAGACACAAACCTCCCAGCAATGCTTGAGTAGTCTGCTCAGCCCAACCTCCGAGGCCTGCTTTCAGACGTAAACATTACATCAGTTTCCATGTCTGTCAGTCCATATCCTTTGTACTGAATCTCTCAGGAAGCTTAATGATTAGTGATGTACATCAATTGATTTTTACAATGTGGAAGCACGTAGCCTAGGCATTGGAGGAAGACCAGCTGTACCGGCATAAGTCACCAATTAGATGTGACCATATCTTTCAGATTCTCCTTCGCCAGTCCAGATTTGTACAGTCCTTCTAAAAAATGGCAGTTCTATAGTCCATTCCTAATTCTCTAGATTCTATTAAGAATTTCCTGTAAATGCTAGAACGAAGCCTAATAACATGTGAGGGAACAATGCAGTAATGTTAACAAATCTGTTGGCATCTTGTGCTGGCTAAAAGACCTTTCACAAAAAGATCCTAGTAACTGTAGCTTACTGTAAGAACTCCTAGTCTATCTTATTCCATACCCTGTCTATGACAGTTTCCAAAAAGCAGATGCCCAGGGTTGAATATAAGAAAGCATATCGTGATAATTCTGCCAATGCCTCTATTACTTGTAACAGTTTGCATCTCAAGGCCTTCCAGTTAGCTAGTCCTAGCAAGTGATAGCAAAGTGAGGGAATAGTGTGGAAATTTATCCATGAACGCCTCTCTGCCTTTATAGACAGACGTTCCTGTGGAAACTGATGCACTCTACTTATTCTTTGTATCTGCTTTTCTGGGTAATTCTAGCTTGGCCCATTGCCTTTCCAGGATGGAGCGAGGCTTGTCCCCTTTGTAGAAGCTGCATCCTTGGAGATTTTAAAATCCTGAGTTGACAGGGTCTGAGCAACTTTGCATGGAGTAGGTTGGACTTAGAGGTCCCTTCTAGTCTAAATTGTTCTGATTCTGTGATTACACCTGTTTGGTTTATGTTTCAAAGTGAGGATGCAGAGAACCTGTGGATGCCCCATCCCTGGAAGTGTTCAGGGCCAGACTGGATGAGGCTTTGAGCAACCTGATCTAGTGAAAGGTGCTGCTACCCATGACAGGGGGGTTGGAACTAGATCTTTATGGTCCCTTCCAACCCAAACCATTCTACGATTCTATGATAAGTAATGAGAAATATTGCCATTGGACCTCCTCCTTAAGTAGCTCACCACAGTCTGCCAGTCTATACTGGTGTATGCGTACTGCTTGATTATTGAGGCAAAGAAGACAAGGCATGTAGATAATGCATCAATTAAGGGAAAAAAACTTGAGAAAGAAATTTTTTCATAAGCTAGAAACCTCTTTCTTTTCTGATCCCATGTATTAGATTTTATCTATTGTTATCCAGAAGTATCTGGTTACCAAAGTTGTTCTGTTGACTATGCAGAAGTTGCAGTTTCACTGCAAGTCCTGAATTGGCTTTTTGAAATAAATGGGCATGATAAACACAGATTGCTAAAAAAAATTGCTGTACTTAACAAGGGTAGGTTTTATACATGGAACCATTGCTAGAGTAGGAAATTTTTAATGCTTTCTTGTTTTTTAATTGTGCTGTACTGGTGGTTTTATCCTTTAAGTTTAAAACACTGACACTTTGGCATCTGTTTTTATATCTTTTGTATCTTTCAATCTGTGACATTGATAATGTAGGTAACAGTGGAGGGTGGGACATGAACAAACAAAAGATTAGTTTCATGATGTAGATTTAAATATTTTGCAATGAATATGTGTAACGGTGACCAAGGAAAGTATTGTGTCTTGCAGAATGCTATTGGGAAAGACAACACAGCAGGAGTCTCCACCAGTCACATATCTTCAGAGAATTCGCTCGCTCTTCCTACAAGCTTCTATCTAAGCACATCGCTCACTCTGATGACACTTGCACTCTCAATTTGTTTGTTCCTAAGCTCATCAGTCGTCTTGTAGCTGCATTACAAAAGGACATGTAAAAAAAAAAAAAAAATCTGTTTCCTGTCCTCTGTTGTTTATCTGGAATTCCAGGTCTGGGAGCTAAGCTGAGGCACTCCTGCTAGAACAGTTTCAGTCAGCTGGAATTATTTTTTTTTCTCTCTAAAAAAGCTTCTTGTGATATTTAGAGGCTTTGTGAAATACTTGGTGCAGTGCTACATTCCAAACCCAAAAGGCTTTTGGGCATGCAGTGTTTTAAGGAGACAGTGTGTAAATTTGCCTGTAAAGCGACCTGGTTGGATTATTTTAATAATAGTTATTTTAATTCTGGCTTTTACCCAAGAAAGAGGATGGCAGTTTTCTTAAGATCCTATTTATCTCATTGAATGGTTTTGGTTTTCAAATTGATTGAACTTCAGACTATCAAGGATGCCAGGCTGTTGTCTAACGGTGAATGTTCTCCCAGAGAGTGGACTCTATGAAAGTTCTTCATTTGATAAATTGCTACTGATGTTAAACTCTTTCAGTGTATTAGCATTTTCCTCTTTAAATGTTTACGTACTGTAAGTGATTCTGCGTTCCCTGCTGAGAAGCCATTATAATTCGCATACAGGTATAATGTACGTCTTTCAGTTAAATTCTCCTAAAAATAGAGTGTGGCATAGACCTTTCTAACAGTACATTTATTTTTTAGTTATAATCATCTAGCCTTAACAAGGGTGAAGATTCTTTAAATTAACAAGAAGCAGCCATTGTGAAAGCTTGATAAAGATATATGTCTTTAAATTTGAGGATAAGCGGTAGAAACAAATTTTGCTACAGGATTTCAGCTGTACAGTCTATGGTCTTCTATGCTTCCATTGTGATAATATAGTCCAGTTATTATACTGTTTGTTTAATAAAAAATGACATACAATTTATTTGCTCTACTAAACCAGCATTATCTGTTTATACAGAGCTGATAACGTCAGCTCAAAAAGTTACAGGAACGTCATGCCTTACTTCTCTTATCACAACCTTGTAGAGGGAAAAGAGGTAGTGGGATGTCATTTAAATTGTGTTTTATTTCTTAGACTGCTAAAATCAACACAAAAGGATGGTTGATCCGGTTACAAGGCAGCGTCATGCACACTCACCCACGTGACAGGCTTTTCTCACCCTGGTAGTTCCTCCTGTAGACCTTGGCATTGCTGACATGATGAGCTGTTTGCAAGACCAGTTCCATAAATTATTTTAATGGTTTGGACAGCAGTATTGCCAGTATACATGATTTGACTGCTTTGGTTTTCATTCAGAGACACTGACAGCCTGTGCTGGCTCGTGATGATTTTCTGCGGTATCTAGAAGGAATTTTTTAAAGCTTTAAATGTCATCAAATAGGCAGCATTTCTCCTAAGGGCTGTCTCTCTACCTTACTGTGATGGCTTGTTGACTGTTACAAGCAGTTATGTCTAAATGACCAACAGTAATCAGTTTTCGTTTCTATTGAAAGCAGAAGATAACTTCGCCAAGCAAGGAGTTCATCAAGTTGAATTTACGGATTTACATTGAGACTTACACAATTATGCCCCATCCTGCTCTGAAATGTCCAGATCGGTTATTTGCAATGCAACTAGAAAGTACAAATTACTGTTTTATAAACTGCAGTGAAGTTTGGGAGTGTGCAAAATACACATCTTACTAAGAAATTATTAAACCTATGGACAAGTTCATCTTTTGAGCTTTTTCTTAGCTAACAAATAAACACTTCCATAAATTCTGAAATTCACTTACGTAGTCTTGATTACGGTCACATAATATAGATTTCAACGCGCTGTCTGTGTGATAGAATTCTAGGACACTCTGTGCCACTGAACATAACAAATTAGACAATATTACTCTTTAAATCTGTACTGATAAGAAACTGCAAATTACTTCCAAAGGCGTCAGAGCTGCTTTTGGAGAAGAAATATATAGCACATCATTACCAGCAAAGCCCATGTGGTTCCTGTTGCTCTTCTTGTAGAAGCTAATCAAATTATTGAAAACTAGTGACAACAGAAAAAAGATTATGAGATTCATGATTTAAAAAATAAGTCAAATTCTTTTATGTCAAAAGGAGTTGATAGGATAACCTATTGAAATGCTAATGAACATAGCATTAGAATTCACAAGTCTGACATTATCCAATTAAAAAATATTTTCAAAACAAATTCATAAATATTACAATTATTAAATCCATCTTTGATCCACAAAGCTTTCTTTAAAATATCATTTGTATTCAGCACGTTAAACATTTTAAGCAGTATTGAGAATTTTAATAACCTCCCAGTATAGTACATACTTTTTGAAGATTTTTTACATTTGGTTTGATTACAGTATCTCTATTACATTTAGTACAAATTATTAGAGCTTTGACACTGTGTGATCCAGAATAAAAGCTATTGATCACTTATACTGTAAACAACAACCTAATTAGGTTCTGATTACAAAAGAAATTGCTAGTTTTCTGGTTCAATGAGAGTTACCTTTGGAAATACAATTATGTATGTAGTAGTGGAAGAAATGGTGTTTTATGCAGCTAGCCATGTTACCACGAACAAAACAGAGCACTCAAGCTTTTTTTTTCCCTGTGTAAATTAAAAGCATACTGAATTCTTAATTTAAAAAAAATAAATTGCTTATTAAGCAGACAAGAGGGAAAACAACCCTAAGTGTTTGCCACTTAATGAGGTTTTTACAGGCATCACCATGCAAATATTGGAGGATTTTTAGAACTTGGTCGTGGTGTGGATGGTGTCAATTTAGCATGGTGACCTTGTCAATGCAGTCATTTGCTACAGTACTGAAGTATGCAGATGACTTTATTTTTTTTTCCCCTTCCAGTCACTAAAATGCCATGTGTTGAATGCTCAGTGAACAAACTTAGGCTGGGCTTTATATAGTCCTTTCACACATTAATTTTATCAATATAACAATAATATAGGAACTGTCCAAATACGGGATGTACCTACAGATGATCTACTGTTTAAATTGTAGATTTAACCAATTCACTTGTGTGTAAGTTAAATCATAGGCTACCCTAAACATACAGAAATCATCTTTTTCATTTAACACAACAGAGCAGACATTGTCATTAGTATTATTAGGAGTGTGTATACTCTGCTGTGTTAAACAACCTGATTATTTGGTTTATGTTTCTTCTTAAAAGTAGTATACACACAAAGATCAAATTCAGAGTGAACTGAAATATATGGCTAAGATTTTGCACTATTTAACATAGATCTTAATTCCACAAGGTAGTCCAACAAAAAAGGCATTGAAGATGAACCTTTCAGATATTAGTGAAAATAACAATTGAGGCTTTCCCATGCCCCAGTACAGGAGAGCCAGTGCAGGCAGTGACATCCTCCAACGGGCAGCAGTCCTACGGGAACGTCTGTGCAGTGGTTTGGTCAGTAAGGAGGAGTGGAGCCCTCGTTCCGTTGGCTCTGCTCCCTGAGATCCCAACTGCTTCAAGAGAATGGGGAGAGAGGTACCGGGCACTGAGCAGGAGCTGTCCATCTGTCTTCACTGGGGCACTGGCCACTCTCCATTGAACGGTTTCATTCCCACTGTGTCATTTGGAAGAATCAGAAGGAACAGGAATTCTTGATCATTTCAAATCATTACGTAGACAGACTCTGTCTGAAGACTTATTCCCAGTCTTTTTTTTCAATTGACTTTACATCCCTCCAAGACCAAACCTTTTGAATACGAAGCTGTTCACAATTTGAGGGATGTTGCCATTTGAATCAGTAGACCGAACATGAAAATAAACATCTTTGCTAAGCCTGTGCAACTAGGCCAGAAATGAAGAAAACAGAGAAGGAATCACCTTGAAATCTCAATCTAGTTTTAATTTATGATTGTTGGCTTAATCATGACGATATTTTCATGGAGAAGAGATGATGAGAAACCAGTGAAAGAGAAGAGCAAAACTCAGAAAAAGTTCCCTGAGGGGTCGTAAATTTTGTGTATGTCAAGTGACAGGAGTACCTCATACTTGGCACTAGGACTCATTGAAATAAAAGAGCTGGATTCTGGATTCTCTGCTGGAGACAGCAACTCCTTCAGAGCAAGCAGTAAAAGATGGAAGAGTGAGCAGTTATTTGTACAATAATCATAACTTTCTTTTATGAAATGCAATTGCTTGTCTTCAACACCAAAGTGGATCTACCTCACTGAAAAATGTACGTTCACTGACAGGACTTCTGCATTAAAACTGTTCTGGGCTAAAGAGGCCCCCAAGGTTGTTTTATACCCATAAGGTTAGTCAGATTCTACCTGATGTCCCTGACATCAAATAGAAATATATTTGCTTCTGATGAACTTGGCAGAGAAATTAATCCAGTGACTTGTTAAATATTTCTCATCTTTAAATATTTGCTTTTTCTTACCAGCTCAGTTCCTTCTGTGACATTTCAATTATTGGCTATTTCAGCTTCTCCTTTAACTTTGGAAGGTCATTTTCTGCACACTCCACGGTAATCCACTTTATAGATTTGCCCCAGTGTTTGTTTTTATTTTAATTACAGACCGCTTCTGAGAAAAAGAATGCGATCAGGAATATGTCTCTGCTGAACAACCAACACCTTTACAGGGGGAGGAAATTGCAAGTTCCAATTTTATCTGTTTACCACCGATTTGACTAGAACAAGCTAAAACATGATGTTCCTTTTCCCCAGATGGAATTTAAGATTTAGTTTGGTACAGAATAAGGACTGAAAAGTTTGAAACTCTCATAATCTTGTAGAAATATTTAAATACTTCTAATGTATTTTCCAGTTGGAATTTCAGTCAAATAGATAAAGTCTCACTAAGTAGTATTTTTTTTCAAGAGTAAGAAGTTTCATTGGGAATTTTTGATGGGTCCATTTTTAAGGTAAAATCAGGGAGGATGGTGACTTCCATACACCCTTGTTCCATGTTTTCTTCATCTGAGTATGTTTGCCCTCAGGGGACGGTTATGCTTGATAGATACATATTAGGTATGGTCTCCTCAATAATCAGAAGCCAAGTCCTGCAACTCTACTCAGATGCTCCATCTCTTTCATCATTCATAAAAGCCAGAGCAACAAATTCAAGATGTAGCCTAAAGATTATCTGAAGTTTAAGAGAGCAGAGAGTCAACCAATTTCTCAGTAACATTTCTTATCAGTATGGATTGTGGTATTATAAATTGGTACCGTCTAGACTAGTCACTAAAGTTCTCTGAGCACTTTTAGCCGGAGCAGCTGCAGTTTCTGCTGTTTTACCTTTGCCAGGTGCCAATAGCTGAACTTTGCCATGCACACACTTAGAGCTCATTGCTGCCTAGCTACAGCAGCCACACCTGATCCTGCTTCTGCAAGGGTTCCCCTTCGCCCATTTTCCCCTGCTTTAAGTGATTCCGACACACTTTTATTCTTTTGCACTACTTTTTGATCTGTCAAAAGGAGAATTTCCTAGAATCCAGGAGAAAATGAGTCATAGATTTAAGGGCAATTTTCTTCACATTCCTCCTGCCAAAATACCACAATAATGGACCTCTTACAGACTTCTATCCTCCAAAGCATTGAATACCCCCTGCCCAGCACTTTCAGTCCTTATGAAACTGAGCAGGAGGTTTGGGGATTCAGCTTCCAGTATACGAGGCCATGTCTGTTTTCAGTCTTCTTCAAGCTATTCATTTGACAAATCGATATTATGGATAAATATAAGTAATTAGAGATGGTGTCATGGCATTATGCTACTCCCCGTGTTGGCCAGCTTATGTCAAGCAGTTTTCC